CACCCCCCCTCCCCCACCATCACCCTTTCTTCCCCCCCCTATACCTTCTTTGCCAGTCCCTGGACCCCCGAGTCCAGTCTCTCCTCACACAGCTGGAATGTGTCTCTTACCCAGTGGAGGTATTATCAAGTGGAAATCAGAAGTAGCACTCAATGGCAGGCAGCCAGAAGACCCCAGAACCAGCCCCCCCAAAAGCCCTGCTGAACTAAAGGGGAGCCCCCTAGGGCCTACCCCGGAATCCCACCTGACATTCCCCAGGTCATTCAAGGTGCCTCCCCCAACTCCAGTCAGGACTTCCTCTATCCCAGTTCTGGAAGCACCAGGGGCTTCCCCAGAGGAGGAGGAAGCCAGCCTCCCACTGCCTTCCAGCTTCAGCATCCGCCCTGCATCTCAAGTTTACCCAGACAGGGCCCTGGAGCCTGAGCACCAGAGAGAGCCCAGGCTTGAGACACCAGGCAGCCCAAGGCTCAAGCAATCTGAACCCCAGACAAATGGACAAGCTGGAGTTCCACCCCCAGCTCCTCCCTTGCCTCCACCTGCTCCCCCACTTCCTCCACCAGCGCCCTCCCTTCCCCCAGCTGCTCCTCCTTTGCCCTCTACTGAGCAGGCAGTCCCTCCATCTTCTGGATTTACCAATATCCCAAAATCCAGCTCACCTACTCCCAACTCCAAACCCGACCCCCCCACTCTGGAGGACACAGACTCATCAGAACCCGTTGACTGGAGGGACCCCCGGCAGATGGAAAAGCTTCGAAGTGAGCTGTCAGCCTATCTCTGTGGGTCCAGGAAAGAGGATCGGTCACTTGGCCACAGGCCAGTCTCTATGGTGGCCTTGAAGGACAAGGAGAGCAAGAAGGGCTCCAGCTTATCAGAGGCGGCAGCTCCTCCAAGCCTGCCTGAGAAGATACACCCCTGTGGTTCTGAGAAGAGTCCCTCCAGCAACCACCTTTCAGAGAGAAAAACCACCAGCAGCCCGACCCTACCCCCTGTGGACTACATCCCCCAGGGTACTACAGCCCCCAGTGTCAAGCAGATCCGGAATGAGCTGGAGGCTCGGTTTGCCTCCTCAGCAGAGAAAGAAGCCAAACCCAGCATAGCATCTTTGCCTCCCAAACCCAGGTTGGAGGGGGGAAGAATCTTTGAAAATGGGACTGATAATGGCAGATTACATAAGCCTGTCACCAAGAATCCACCCCAGCTGCCTGCCACCCCTCTGTCGGCCACACCACTCCAGTCCAAGATTACACCTGGTCCAGCAGCACCACCCAAGGCCACACCTAGGCCAGCCTTACCACTCAAGCCTACACCTGAGCAGATGACACCACCCAAGCACATACCTGGGCAGGTGACACCACCCAAGCACACACCTGAGCAGGCCACACCACTCAAGCCTGCACCTGGACAGGCCACACCACCCAAAGACCCACCTGGGCAGACCACACCACCCAAGCACACACTTGGAAAGGCCACACCACCCAAAGACCTACCTGGGCAGACCACATCAACCAAGCACCCACCGGGGCAGGACACATCAACCAAGGACACACCTGAGCTGTCCATCCCATCATCTCAGCTGATGGCTGAGAAGGACCTTGTCCCAGTGAGGCAGAGAGAAAAGCCAGAATCTCAAGAAAATGCAGTGGCCACCCAACTGTCCACAAATGGAACCCTCTCCCCTCCAGCCCTCCCACCAAAGATGTCCACTGGTGGAGAGGAGGTACCATTTCTCTACAAACCCCATCGCAGCCACAACACCCACAGCCGAGGGGTTGCTGTGGTGATCCCCACTCGGGCCAGAGGCGAGGCCACAGACTCAGGAGGACTAGTGGATGAAAAGGAGCCCCAAAGGCACCCAGCCAAACCTCTTACCCAAGTCCAGCCTGCTGACCAACTCCTCAGACACCCGGTGACTGGGGAGGTAGTGGAGCGGGGCTCCCCAATGGCTCTGCTCCTTGCAGCCAGACAGAGGGCACAGAAGGGCAGGCCTGGAGGGACTGCGATGGGACTGGGAAGGTCCTCTCTGCCAGGGAGTCTCCGTAACCATAGCAATCAAACAGAGGCCAGCTCTGACAGCATCTTTTACAGAGGTAGCCGGCCCAACTCCTTCCTTGTGGTCCCTAAGGCACCCAGTGAGACAGAGGACTCCCATCGGACCTCAGCACGGCCCGCTGGACCCAGTCAGTGGAAGCCCCAGCAGGGAAGAGACATACAGGGCCCAGAGCCAAGCCACAGGCATGGGTGGACCAAGGCCGAGTCCCCAGCCGTGGCCTCGGTGGCCCGGGAAAGACAGGCTCCCTCAAGCTTACCCCAGGGCGGCGCCCTCCCCAAATCCTTCTCCTCTCCACCCTCTCCTTCCTACAAGAGGGAAGAGGAAGAAGAGGAGTTTTGCTTTGATATCATTCCGCCGCCACCAGAGTTCAGCAATGACCCTGAGCCCCCCGCCCTTGAGCTGCAGCATCGGAGCCGTCAAGGGTCCCCACCCACAAACAACTTCTCGGACTTGGGACAGTCCCTGGACGCGGGCCCCGGGGCCAATCCGGCTCGCAGCTTCTCGCGCTTTTCTGGCGCTCAATACTCCGGGTTCGGGGGCCTGGATCGCCTCTCAGGCAGCGGACGCTCGCTCATCAAAAAACGCCTGTATGTCGGGGAGCCCCACCACAACCCCGGGACGCCCCGCGGCGCCACTGGCCGCAGCATGAGCTCCCCTAACTGCTTCGGACCGCAACCCGGGGGCCCCGAGACGCGACGGGTCAACTCGGCTGGCCGCGCAGCCCCTGGAGGCCTGAACGCACGGAGGCTGTCGCTGGAAGGCTCCCGAGGTACAGCTGAGGTCAAGTACAAGCTGCCCAGCGGAGGCGGTGGTAATGGCAGCAAACCTGGCGACTATGGCTTCGTCCCTGCTAAAGGAACCAGGTGAGCTGGGGAAGGACCCCCGGGGGTTAACGACCAGGGATGCGTGAACAGAGTTAATGGCAAGTGCACGTCCATAGCCTGTGACTAAGAGAGAAGGGAGGAAGACACACATACCTGGACAGGGTGCTGTTGGTGGGCTCCTTTCTTCCCAACACACCTCTTCACTCCCCTCTGGCCCTCTGGGATTTCAGGGCTTCAAATCAGGATAGAAGGAAGGGAGACTTACTGGACCCGAGTGGAAAAATGGATTCAGATGCAGGCTGGGAGCTAAGGAGTCTGAGTGACAGAGACTACCAGGGGAGTTGTGCGGCCAGCAGGGCTGTCTGGTGCACTTGGTCCCACCCTGGAGTTCAGAAGTCTATCACATCGCATTTTTAAATTTTCTGTTCTGGGAGAGGTGGGTAGAGTGGGGACCAACCAACTGCATGTGGGTCTTCACTGCTCCCCTTCCACTTTCTCCAGGTCTCTCCACGGCACCACCCACTATGGAAGCCCCATAAATACGTTCACCGTGAGGCCAGGGACACGCCATCCCATTTCCTACAACTACTCTGGGACTCATCGGAAAACCACCTCCTGAGCTGTGTGTTCACTCAGCTGACTTCTAGGGGTTGGATTTGGGCAGTTGTTTTGTGGGGGGTGGGAGGCTGCACCGGGTATTATAGGTCCCAGCTCAGACACCACTGAGAGCCTTTGTTCTGGAAGACAGAAAGACAGACAGGTGGATGTGTGAGTATCAGAGGCCCGTGGAAGATGGAAGCATGTCTGTTTCCAAAAGCACCAAGCTTGGTTATGGATTGTTGGCAGTTGGGGGTGGGAGGGGGCAGGAGCTTTCTGGGCCTGGGCCCTGTTTCTGCTATCTAGTACTGTCTGCTTTAGCAAAGTTTATTGAAACCAGTTTACACGCAGGTTCTAAAAGAAGGGCTGGGCCCCCCCAAGTCTAAACTGAAACCCATGGGGGTGACAGTTTGCCTATCAGCACCTCCCAAATGTAGGTAGATCTCTTTAACACCTGCCTGTTCCACTGAGCAGGTAATGGCTGGTCTTCCTAGGCACTTGGAGATGAGATTAAGACTGCTTGCATAACACAGAGGTCTCTGCAACAGAAGCCTCATGCTCTGGCCAGGACCAAGGGTAGGTTCCTTGTTTCTTGGCCTTGGCACTTACCTATGAGAAGGCCTTGAGAGAGTTTGGGATGGAGGATGGGGAATTAAGACTTGCTTTTCCATCCAAGACTATGAAGTCCTGATTAGGGGGAGGGTTGAGCCCAAGGTCTAGGAAGTGTGCTGCTAACATGGAGATGGGTCTTGAAAGTCAAGGCCCAGTTTGGAGCAGGGGAGACCTGTCAGTAGGGAGACCATTTGTCCTCTGCCTGGGCAGTCCAGGGTTATACCAGTGAATCGGAATATATCTTCTAATGAATGTCCTGGTTTGCATGCTATGTCAAATATATCAGGAACAATGGTTCTCCAGGTGGGGACTAGCTGGAGTCCTCGGACCAGGTCAAGGCAGGTGACAAAGGAAGGGCAGAGGGGTGGCCCACCTCAGATGAGCAGGGAGCACACAAGAGGAAGCACCCTGTGGGAGAGGGATATTGGGTCTGTGAGATGTGTGATACTAGCTGAAGAAGTAGGTTGGGACAGTAGGTGAACCACTTCAGATGAAGAAAGAACAGAATGGCCCCAGGTGGCTCAGGCACAGTGACAGATTCACCATGAAACCAAGCCCATCAACACAGCACTGGCCTATAACTGTGCTTCCCCATGAAAGAGTTTGCTAATTCAACTGCTGCATCAAGGCTTGAGGAGTGGGGTGTGGTCCCCCAGCTCTGGAGTACTCTGGGGTCTGTCTCACTTGGCATGGGAAATAAACAGCCAGTTTGGACTAGCCCCTGCTCTGCTAGGTTGGTGACTTGGAGCTGCCTAGGCATCATGGGACTGTGGGACTGGACAGAGCCAAACACAGGGTACTGGGCCCATAGGTGAAGCCAGATGACAAACGGTCCTTAAGCAACTCCCTTTGGTTTTCTGAGCCTGTTTCTTCTGGGCCTGGAAGTAATCCTACCTCACCAAGCTGCTGTGAAGAATGGAGGCAGCCATGTGTTCTTGTGGTTCATGTCCCTGGGCCAGGCCACAGTCTAAAGCCTGGCACTGTGGTACAAACTTCCAATTCCAGCACTATGGAAGTGTAGGCAGTAGAAATACAGTTTAAGGCCAGCTTGGCTACATGAGACCCCACCTCAAACTCAAAAAACACACGGATTTGTGAACGGAAGTAAAACTAATTACAGTTTAGAAGAGGTGAGAAGTAAAAATAGAACACATGGGGGCAGGGGGGTCCCTCACTTGGTAATGTGCCTGGTAATGAGCATAAGGACTTAAGTTCAGCCCTAGGTGGAGGGAATGGCTCAGTCCATGCAGCACTTGTCTTAAAGCTTGGCCCAAAGAGCCCACATTAAAACACTATGCTTGGTGCCTGCTTGCAATCCTGGCACTGAGACTCTAGCCACACAGCTTAGGCCTACTTTTAAGCCCAGACCAATGAGATAACCCATCTCAAGGTGGTCAGCCTTCCTAAGGGTTACACCAGAGGCCATCCTCTAGATGTCACATGCACTCACTCACGCATGCATGCATGCATGCAGACAACAGAGAGCACACAGAAACATCTAATTTGGCCAGGTGGTGGTGGCACACGCCTTTAATCCCAGCACTCCTGGGAAGCAGGTGGATCTCTCTGAGTTCCAGGCCAGCCTGATCTGCAGATTAAGTTCCAGGACAGGCTCTAAAGCTACACAGAGAAACCATGTCTTGAAAAAAAAAAAAAAAAAAGTAAAACTTTGTTGGGTCCTTGACCTCTGAGCTCTTGAGAGTGTCCCATGAAAAAGACACTCTCTTGGCCACTTCTACACATTATGCTAGCCCTCCTCACATCTGTACTTCAGGCTGTGGGAGCCATAACCACCACTTACATAACTCTGACGGTTTGGAAAGGCCACTCCTCTGTTTGCTCGTGAAGGTCCTCTAACATTCATTGGTGTGTAATACCGTGTTTGCATTTCATTGTCTAGGAAATCAAGCCTCCAACGCAGGAACCCAGTTGCTCCAAATAGCCAACCTGACTCACACTCTGTCCTGTTTCATCACAGCTGCCCTACTAGCTGTGACGGTTCCCTCTGGCTCAGCCTTTCCCGGGGGTACTCCTCCACATACTGTCCATTCAGCTAGCACAGTAAGGATGGGTAAGGGTAACGGGGAAGCCACTCTGCAATGAGTGGGCTTGAGGTGGATGCTTGTGTGCCTGGGTCTGGTTGGCCCACACCTCAGTTACAGAAGCCTTTCTGTATGACCCCAGTGACCCAGCCTCTAAAGCAACTAGGGCAGGTGCTAAGGATGCCTGTGTCTGGAGTCTGGGCCTGGCATCCCTTAGGGTCAAGCTTAGCTTTTTCTGAGCCAGACTCAAGGAAGTCTCCTTCAGATGAAGATGAAGACTCCACATCTCCCCAACCCCTGCGTGCTTTGTTTTCCAGACAAGGTTTGCTGTAGCTTAGGCTGGACATGAACCTGCTATGTCTGAGAGGATAGCCTTGAGCTCCTATCCTCCTACCTCCGCCTCTCAGCTCTGTCATGCTGATCTGTTTATTGTCGTTATTTTTGTGGTGCTGGAGATGACCCAAAGGGTGAGGGCTGAGCTGCCAACTGGTCCTGTCCTGACTTGCCAGCTCCACCCACCTACCTACCACGACCATGCCCCCTTTCACCTTGACAGTTCAAAGACAGGGCATCCCATCACTACTCAGCTGGCCTGGACAGGTGGCTCATCCCGTACCTCCTTCTGAAGGCCCCGAGCAGCCAGGGACAGCAGACTTACTTTGGTTGCGTTTAGCCAGGAAGGTGGGAGAACAGTGTGGGACAGGGACCCATGGCAGCATTAGGACTGGAACTGCGCAGGAGGGGCCACTATTTGCACTTGTCACATTCAAACACTTAAGAAAGGTACTTTTATGGGCAATGCAAGCACTCTCCTGTTGTGCTCTAGTGACAGCTCTTGGTCATTTAATGCTGCTCTTGACACCCACTTTCACCTGATCTCCCTGATAGAAGGCAGGAGAATGCAGCACTGTGCAGTTGCACTGGAGTCCTTGTGTACTGTGAGCCTGCCTGCTTGTACATGCAGCTGGCATCAGCCAGCAGGTGGCGCTGCGCTCACAGCTGCCTGTATTTCCCCAGGGACAGATGAGGTTCTGAGTTCAGATTTAAATCAATGGGTTGTTGACTGACCTGGTTTGTCTTGGGTATGGATGCACTGGGGGATTTACGAAATAAGCTCCTGAGGTTTCTTTATAACAGGTTCCCAGGTACGGCAGGTACACATCTGAGAGCATCTGCTCAGCCTTCTCAGCAGAAACTACAGTTCCCACAGTGCAAATGGCCTAGGCCCCCAGGTCACACAGCTGGAGGGAGGCGGGAACTCCCTTCCTTCTGCCCTCTGCAACATGATGGGTGTGGGTGTGCCTGCCTGCACCTGTCCAGATTCTTGTTCCAAGAAGGGCATTAAGAACAGAGAAAGGGGACATGGCTTGGGAACAGTCAGGAACAGGGTCATTGTTAGACTGAGATCAATACTCTGGCATCCACACTGTTTAGAGGCATTTTCAATTCCAACTCTAGCCTCATATCAGCATCAGCTCACACTGTGGTGGTGTCTGTACTGTCCCTTTGCCACGTCCCCCACCCCTAACACACACACCTTGTGGTGCTAGGGATGGAAGCCAAGCCCGTGTATGACTGGTACAGGCAAATGCTCTACCGCAAATTTACACTCCCAGCCTGAAGCCCTCATACTCCTAGATGACAGAGGTGCCACTGTCCTCCCCGGGGGAACTCACCCAAGCTCACACCCCTCCCACACTTGCTGATTAGTCCTTTGCCTCAGTCAGGACAGTCCTGGAGGGTCATGGCAGCTCAGGACCCTGTTCATTTGGGACAGCCGTTCCATAAGCCTCCATACACACAAGCCCGGCCTCCAGAGGGGCTGCGCTCACAGCAGCTGGCACAGAGCCAGGCACCGGTGTAAGTGCTTCGCCCATCTTCTTTCCTGACAACCCCAAGACACAAGTACCTTCATCATGAAACAGTGAAGAAACATGTCCCTAGGTCTACCACCGAGCTATGGCACACACACACACACACACACACACACACACACACACACACCAGGATTCCTGTGCAAGTAGTCAAGCTCTGGGCTTTGAAGGGTTGAAACCATCTCCTGGAACATTCAGAGAAATCACACCGTGTCAGGCAACAAAGATGTATTCTAGTCTGGGGAGTCTGCCCCTCACACTTCTTTTCCAGCATTTTCATGTTGGCACCTGAACACACAGCCCTGGGGTTAAATATAAGTTCAGTGCCCCTTGTCTGGGGACTTGGCCCCCAACAGGACAGTGGCAAATGTTTGGAGATGTGGTTTTGCTGATACTTGTGAAGAAGTCTACCGCTCTTTGCTAGGTAGAGGCCAGGGATGCTAGTCACAGGGCCGTCCCCAGAACTGGGCCCCAAATGTCAGCAGCACTGAGGG